AAGCGATGCGTTGCGTGCACCTACTTACATACATATGTATGTGTGTGCATATGCTGTTTGGTAGGGTTCTCTGCTGGGTATGAGATCACTTAATGCCCCAAAAGCAAACAGCAAAGCAAATAACAAGATATTTTGCAAAATTTTTGGAATGACTCAGAGAGGAATGCGTCAATTACACATTTAGAGTTTAGAGTGACAAATAACAAGTTATAGTTAATTAGACATTTACCTATATAAGCACAATTAGCGAGCGTAAGGTGACAGCTGTTACAACAGAGCGCTAAACGAGATTCGCACATATCTTTAGCTTCTTAAAAATATTTACATATATACATATGTAAAAATGAATTTATAAGTAACGCCTCCTTGCTCTCTTTCGACTACTTAGCTAGGTACTCATTCATTCCATTCGTTAATCGCTTCATTCGTCATGCATTCATGTTTGCATTCCTTTGTCTTATTTGTGTATGTAAGTGTTTTCACATCACATTTCGCACTTAACTTTAAGATACATACTAAATAGTTAACCTACGTACATGCATGCATACAAATGTTAATGTCTTCATGGCACGATATACTAACCCTTGACCAGCAGTCAACTGCGTCCAATGCACCAAAGTACCAACGAAGAAGAGCAAAACAAATGTGAAGCAGTTAAGCGGCAGCGGCGTCGCTCTACACCGATAGCGTAACATATTTTTGCTTGTTTGTTGTTGTACACTTGCACTATTCAGTGTTTGTATAATAATCGTTGTTTTTTTTTTTTTGGTTTGCCCACTTAGTATTGTTTGACATTCAACACTCGCTACGCCTTTTGCACACACTTTGCCTTTATGACTTCGTCAGCATCGAAAATTTATTTCTGTTATTTATTTTTTGGTGGTCAATGCTTCGTTTGGGCTTTGTATGAAGCTCTGGATATATTTATTTGTTGTATGACAGTGACCTAATGCGTGTGTATGTGTGTGTGTATGCACCCACATTAATATTTGCACGACTACTACTGGTGGTACAATGATTTGCTTCGCCACTCTTCTGAAACAAAAACTTCTTCACTTATCCACCATTCACAATTTTGCTATTTACAATTAGCCAAACTCGTTGACTTATTGATTAAGCGCAACTCTGTATGCTCATTTATATGTATGTATATTCGAGTAGTTATATATTTTGCAATACTTGAATTTTGTAATATATTCACATTCACTTAGCCCACTTGCACGTATTCCACTGATTTACTAACTCACTTGTCCGCTTGTCCGACCGCTCTCGTTTAATACTTTGCGCCTGCGTGTTAATGGTTTTTGCGAAACTTGTGTTGCTCACTTGCCGCGCTCTGAATCGTTACTGATTTAACTGACCATGTTAAGTGTCGGCGCCAGAAACTGGCTTGAACGTTGGCGCGCTAGCTTTAAGTTGCGCTTTGTGTTAGTGTGGCGTTGTGTTTGCCTGGAAAGTTTATTCTGCTGAAACTTTTAGTTTGAAAGCTTCCAATGATCAATGTATTCATATATTTAGGATTATATAAAGCTTCTGCTGTGATTTTCTTGGTTTTGACCCATGTTTAAACTTGATACGAGCGCAGTTTGATACGTCAAGCAACTACTTGCATTAAATGGTATTTTGTTTTTCAATATATTCCCTTTTTAGCTTAGACATGCAGCGTTTTATCAGTTTTTTATACCTTTCAAGTGTAGTAGAAGCTCAATCATATATGAAGAATTGAACGTTCTTTTGTTTTTCATTTCGTTATGACTAATTTTGAATTACTATGGACAACTAAAAAGAGGATTCCCCAAATAAATATTATGATGCTTCTTCTTCCTCTTGATTTGCACTGTCGCAAAGAACATACACATAAACCGAATTCTGCAATCCTGATTTTAACAATAAGAGAAATAGTAATCAGTACATTTGCAGCAGAAACAGAAACAAGTACGTTCGACATTTTACTGTTGCTGTTGACAAACTAAATGCCAAATATTTGCCGTTCGCGCTCATTTATCAAAACAGAAAAGAAAAACGATAAAAAATTCAATGAAATTAGTTCCTAAAAATTGAATAGAATTGAAAAAATATTTTCCTAGTTAAAGTAATATAAACTAAAAATTAAATTAAAACAGACAAATAATAAAAAAATAAAATAAATACAATAGATTGCAAAAAATTAAATGGGACTAAAAAAATATTTTTCTTTTTAAAATAATATCTATAATCTAAAATAAAATTAAGAAATGAAAAAAAAACAAATAAGTCTCTAAAAATTCAATGAAATTAAAAAAATATGTTTTTAAAACAATAAACGCTAAGAACTGTAAAAAAATTTAATTAACAAAGAAGAAGACAAAATTCTACCAAAAAAGGAAGAAAAAATATGTTTCTGAAAAATAACTCCAATTTAAAAAAATATATATTATGTTATGCTAAGTGCAGTAGAACGCAATATACTGCTGTCACGATTACGGAACTATTCCTATTAAGAAATGAATCAAGAGAAGTTTCACTTCCGTAGCGCAGCCGTTCTTTATACCTTTCGTGAACATGAAATTACACATACATATTATAACCTAGCTCCGGTTGTATGTATGTATGTAAGTACCGGAATAAAAAGAGATAAACCCATAAAAAAAAAAGTATACCAAAATGATCAGAACGTCGAGCTGAGTCGATTTAGCGCAATCTAGTCCCACACTTTACGAGATATCTGACTGAAATTTGGTAAGCGGGTGTATTAATCATTTTTTGGAACCGGCTAAATCGGATTATTACAGTACATAGCTCCCATAGGTATGATTAGGTTGGACGGCAGTGCTATGTGGACTCACTTAGACTCGGAGTCCTTTGTGATATCCCCGTTCCCGTACGAACCACCAGGTGGTTACCAAAATAGTGCATATGGTTCTAACATCCATCACTTTGAGGTCATCGACGCCATTGAAGGAATAACTGCCAAGAGCTTTTGCTCTCAGTTTCAATAGAGCCGGGCAAAGGCGGAGGAGATGTTTGATGGCTTCTTCTTCCTCATCATCCATGCAGCTTCTGCAAGTGGTCGTTCCGGGGTAAGTCCACTCTAGCTGCGTGTCGCCCAATCAGACGATGTCCGGAGGGAACTTTATTCACTATGCGAATGTCCGGCCTCCATAGATTAAGTAGACATCTACTTAGTACGATGCGCATAAAATTCTTTGAATTTTTCATTCAGTAAAAATGTATGTAAATGTTTGAAGAGGGATGCCGAGAGTATCCCTTATATCTGTTCCAATGGCCAGGTACCCCGACTATGCGTGCGTTGAATGTATCATCCATTAAGAGATCGGCGGCATTGAGCAGCTACTTTTGAAGTCAGAAAAATTTTCCCAGGGATATATAGGCGCCTGGCGGCCAGTAAAAATGCAGATATCATGACGAGGAATCGTATCACAACGTATCACTGATGCGGGAAGTGTGGGTGGGTGGATTGTTGTTGGTTGTAGGAAACTGTGGTCATTTAAAATTTTAGAGTGACCTATGTGTGGATACGTCCATTTCTTAGTCGCGGTAAGCCCAATGACAGTTCAACATGCCAACATTCTCGCACACAGATCCGTTGGGAAAAATATTAGTAGCGTGTTGACCGCTTTGGTGGCTGTTGTCTTCATGGCTCCTGTTATTATCCTGTTGAACTTTGTCCATTTTCTTCGCTTTAACTTCATTGGAGAGCATCCCATCAAACTACTACACCGTAGAAAAAAATCAGTCTTACCAACACGGTATAGATCCACGTTACGATTTTGGGCTCCAGACCGCAGTTTTGGCCAATAGCAGGAGGTGCAGGAGTATACAGCAGTTATGACTTTGCGAATCCGTACATCGATGCTAGATCCGCAATTTAATTTCCTATTTAGATCTAGATATGTATCCTGATCAGTTCCCTGCAATGAACAACCGTTTAGGTTGATATTTCGGAGTGATGGACGCCTTTGTTTCCTTATATATAGTGCCAGTTATGATTTTGTGGAATTTACTCCCAAACGACGGTTGCTGCACAATCGCGAGAGTTTATTTTGTAGTAATATTTTTCTGTAGCCGTAATGGTAATATCATCGGCGTAGGCTACCACTTTGTCGCCGCTTCTTTCTATTTTTAAGCAAAGTGTCAACAACAGAGGAGTCTTCGATCAGAGTGGAGATTGTTGACAAACGATACCAGCGTGATGACTGCAACCGGGCTGATATTGTGGAAAGTACCTTCAATTTCCAAGAAGACAGATAGAGCATAATCTTTGTAATGCCAAGATTTTTCGATGTCAAAGACAAGGCTATTTATTCTTTTATTTATATGCATGTTGGGAAGTAGACAGCTTCGAATAGCTCATATACAACTGATTGTTCAGATATGAGGTTTTGTTTTAAGACCCTTTCAGCTTGAATGATAAAACCGTAAAATTTTGTGAGTAATCAAACAAAGTCTACTAACATCCGTGTTATATTAGATATATCTTTCATAAAACTGATTGTTGAGATAGGCATTTTTTTGATATAGCTCCTGAATTTAATAGCTACCATTCTGAAATTTCGTGAGATATTTACTAATGAACTATACAAGCACTAGTAATAAAATCACGATGATAGGCCCACTATTAGTTATAACTCCCATGCAACTGATTGTTCAGATATCAGGCTTTGCTTTAAAACTCCTTAATTTAGACAAATTAAACCCCAAAATCTTGTGAACTATTTATTCATTATCGTGTAAGTAAAGAGAAAAGCTCGGCTATCCATAACGTATACTTCCTATACCACTGATTGTTCAGATAGTAGATTTTATCATATTTAGCCATTTATATGGCTGAGGATCTGTTTTTTTTTCTATTATTGCCTTACTTTACATACACCCTTTGAACTTTCTACTTACATATTTACATATAGACATAAAGTCTAACACCCAAATTGATAAAAAATAAAATACACTTTTGCTGCTTTATAAATCGAAAATTTGTATGAAGAAGTCACTTTATAAAGCTCTTTAAACTTATTGTATTTTTTATAATTAAAGCCATAAATATTTAATTTTTTCGTCTAAATTTCATAAAAGTATTTATCCATAGAATTTTTCTTATAGTAATCATAAATAACAATTGAACCAGCTTTTTGATTTGTTACATTATAAACTTTCACCATTGGTATATGTAGACAATCACTAGAATCCTTTGAGAATCCCTCGAAGTAAATGTCCAGTTTTTGATTAGATTTTGACCGTTTTATCATCTAAAAAAATAGCAAAGAAATACACGTAAAGTTCATTAAGCAAGAAGTCACAACAAATTTTATAAACTAGTGAACAGAACGCATGACGTTAAAACACTGACATTGAATTTAAATTTATAAACGGATAGCAACTTTATTCAGAAACCAAAACAAATATTCCAGATGTTTCATCATAATACGTCCAGCCATTTCTGAGTGAAGGGAGGTCTCGCATGGTGTCTATATTTCATTGCATCAAATTTCAAATCACCCTGCACAGCTAAAAAAAGTTCTAACTTCAAAAAAAAATTATTACACATCTAGCGGCCAAGTGCTTTTATTTTACATCTCATTTTTTGAAATTCGAGGTAACGGTGCAGATCTGATGACCTTCACAAAAAATGCTGCTGATAGATATTATTTTTCGAATAGATGGCAATCCTAATCAAAATTATTTTCAAACTAAAACTTACGTATGGCACTCAAGAATGATAGAATACAAGATTGCGCCAATCGAGCTGAGAGTAACTGGCCGTGACGTCAATAAATACCAGAATGAGAGAGCAAGACGAACTCGACAAGAAAAAGAGGAAGCATCGGACAAAAGGCAGTATTGCCAAGTTTTGAATTTGAAAAAGCACCAAATTTTTATTGGTGTATTTTATAGACTTTATATGCATACATAATTTTATTGTAAGGATGCCGATTCAAATTAATACAAATCAATATTTCTTGCACGACGGTTGATTTTTTCTGACATGATTATGATTGTCACTGTGCCATTGTGTTTAAATTTTTGTAAAGTTGCTTACCACACTTACGATTGCTCTAATTTTGCTTCCATTTTTTAAGACTTTCTAATTTGGTGTCTTGAAACTAAAAACAAAAGCACTGAAAACGCGCCAAGAACCAAACTCAAAAATTTTCGCGTTTTGAATACCCACTAAATTTGGTGCGATTCATGCCTTGGCAACAGGGGAATGTAAACAAAAGTATTTTATGACGTCAGCGATTAGGTGGATGCTGTCAAATCGACGAAGAGAGGGTTAGCGGTCGGCGAATGGCGCTACCTTTATTTTCTGGATCGTGTATGGCACTCATATTTTAATATTTATTTAATACAACTTGTGTATAAGTTGAATAAATGCGAGTTTTCAAATAGGTGGCAAACCTCTTTTAAAGTATTTTCAGACTTAAATCTTTTTAAATCTCTTTTGTTTGGCATTGTGATACATATTGCAACCAACTGATCAATTAAGTTGAATTTGACTTTTAAACACGTGACAACTCTCCTAAACATATTTCAGAAATAAATTTTTGTTAAACCATTTCGCTTGATACCCAACTTAATAATTAATTTAACTTATTAAAAATTTGAATTTAAAATTAACTTAACAAGTGGCAACCCTCTTCAAACGCCTCAATAAATTCTATACGTTGAAACCAAATATCTTATTATGTATTTCATATCCTCGTTTAAAGTAAGTCAAGTTTTCTCAAGTGGGCCACCCAAAGTTAACTTCTCGATTTTTTATATTTCATTGATCGCTTTTGAAAGTTAACATGGTGTGCAATATTGACACCAACGATTTTGCGCTAATTTTATTTTTTTGACGAGTTATTTGCAAACAAATTTTTATACAGGCTTTTACACTTTTTGAAATATTTCAGCAACCATTCATTCGAATCTTATGATTTTTTGACAGCAGTTAGAGAACTTATTGGGCAACAAAATAAAGTGGTCATTTTGTAAAATTTCGACTCTTGTTTTATAAAAAAATGTATTTTTTTAATCAATTGAATTTTTTTTACCAACTTCTATATACCTAGGAAACTTATTCAAAAAGCATTATTTGCGCTAAACATTCAATTTTACTTTACAAAAAATAATTTAATTTAAAAAAATAATTTGATAATTCTTGATTTAATACTTAAGTTTAAAATGTTTCTTTTTAGTTCATTTAAATTATATTTTACCTTTATCTTAATCTTAATCTTAATCCTAATCTTAATGTTAATCTTAATCTTAATCTCAGTCTTAATCTTATTCTTAAACCTAATATTAATCTTCTCTATCTCTATCTTTATGCTTATCCGTATCCTTATCCTTATTTTTATCTTTCCCCTTCACCTTCATCTCCTCAGTCTGAACCATAATCTTTGTCCGTGTTTTAATATTTGTCTTTGTCGTTGCCTTTATTTCTGTCTCTGTCGATATCCTTATACCTATCATTATGTTTTTCTTTGTATATATCCTTGTCTCTCCCGCCCTAGTTGTGTTCAACGCAGCCGTTCGTTATCTGTCCACGTTATTTAACGTAAACATTTCCCAAGTCAACAACAAGTTTTACTTAAAAAATACATTGTCTATTTTTTCATTTGTCTTTTTACCTTTGTTCGCTTGGTATAGCTGAGGTTGCAGCAATCGGGCGCTACCTGTTCGCTAGACGGCAAGTTCACTTCCATAACCGCCATGCCAGTGCGTTCCACATGAATGGAATGTAAATGTGCGCAGATTTCTAATGTTTTTCTTATAGCCGATGGATTGGAGATCGAAGAGTTTACTTCGAAAACGGTTTTCTCAGGTATCAAGCTATTGTAGCGATAATTAATTTGGAAAGTTGCCTTGCCCTTGCCAATGGAGTTGAATTCTAATCCTCGTATATGCTTGGGAAGCTATTGAAATAAAAGGGAACAAATGTTATTTAACTAAAAAGGCGCTTATTCCCAGATTAGTAAGTAAATTTACCTGAATTTTTTTGTTAAGATCTGTACTATTTTCTCCAATTTCGAAAGTTTGTAGCAGTTGCCCTTGCGCATGCACATCAATCTTCAAATTGCTATCCATTTCCTTGTACTTCGCGGCATAGGTGGCCAAGGCGCGCAGTCCCACCTCAGTTTCGAAGGTCGACGCAAATCCACCATTACTATTCCGCTTCAATACTAACCATTTGATAGTTGGAGCAATTGGTTTTTTCAATTCCATCAATGTCAATAGTATATAACCCGTTACATAAACATCAATATTACGTGGCTGCTCAGCATATTGCCACCATTTGTAATTACCGCTGGTCTTTGCTTTTCCTTCCAATATTGTTAGTAGCTCAGTGACCATAGGATCTTGACACAATTGCAATACATACAAAGACAAAGCAATTGAACGCATATCGCTACTTTGCTTCACATTATTTTTCACATATTCTAAACCCTTGTTCACAATATTTTTATATTTTTCTGTTGTATGTTGTTGATTTTGAAGAAAAGCAAGTAGCACAGATGCAGTTACACTCAATTTGTCAAGATTCGCGAAATCCAATAATCGGCCATCTTCTCTGAAGCTTCCGTCTGCCTCTTGTTTGCTGGCTAAAAATTCAAATCCGCGTTTAAGGACATTATCATCGACGAAACAATATGATTTGGCTTCGTCAAATATGCGCGTTACATATGCCGTTAGCCAAGTAATGCCGGGCTCACGACCCCAAGTACTAAACGAACCATCCGAAAGTTTGTAGGTAAGTTCACGCTGGTAACCAATTTCGAGGTAACTTTTGGTTTGTTCGAAAAGCGTTTTATTCGTTATCGAGGTGCTCTAAAATGGTGAGATGTATGTAAAAAATATTTAGTAACTAGAAGCAACAAGTAAGAAGTTATTTGTATAAGTAAATTCACATAGATTTCGGGTTCTCGTATCAAACTCTGGAATTAGAATTCGCCGCTATTTATTTTCTCATTTCTTTGCTTAAGGAAGGGTATGTACCGAATGCTTGGCTGGAGCTGATGCCTGTATTTACATCTGATGCAGGGAAAACCAAATCCCTCATAGGCAAACCACTGCAGGTTGATAAGTCTATCAATAGTTATTCTAAAGGCACTTGTAAGACAGGGAGAAGCTAGCGTACTATTTCCTAGAGATAACATAGACACAAGCATAATCTTTGAGAGGATGTTTAAAATAGAGTTAGGATGTACAGGCGTATCGAAAACTCCAGGAGTAATAGGAACCATAAACTTCGGTGCCAGGGGCAGGATCTCTGTTTCTATTGAAGCATTTTTCAGACGGAGCTAATATTACATAGAAGGTACCGAAATAAGAGAATGACAATTCTAAGCAAAAGCCAGGTTGAGCTCAAAGCACGCGTATCATATGAAATTAAACCATCATTAGTCTTTGAGTGCATTGAAAAGGTTAACGCCCTTGGTAAAGACAGCGGACTGTCTCGCCAGAGAACGAAAGTCATAACTTCAATTAGGAGTAGGTCTCACAACGTTTAAGAAAGAGCTCCAGAAGGAGAGGATCTAAACTGGCACAACTTAGTAGAACTGCGACAGCGAAGGAGTCTACTAGGAGGGTAAACAAAGAAGAGATTCCAAAACTTAATTAGTCTCCTAAGGGATTAACGTAGAATACTAACAGGTATCTTTACAGAACCCTGATGACTATTCTATGTTAGTACTTATTGTAGAAAAATCGCTAGAATTTAATGACTGTACCAAGGGCGGCATCCTGGATATTAAGTTATGTCTGGATAAGCAAGATAAATGAAATTCTGAAATCGCTGTGGGAAAAGGGAATAAAAGCGATAAGCGACAACCGAAAAGGTTTAGGAATTAACACCTCCAAAACAGAAATGGCGTTATTCAGCGCAGCGAAATGTCTAAATATAATCCGGAATTTCAAACTAACTTCGAAAAGTAATGTGTTGGAGACAATTAAAAAGCGGCTTGCGACTTACTATACCTACAAAAAGGCTCTTAGAAAATAATAGCGACTGTCGCCCAAGCCTTTAATCAAGCGCATTGAGTGAAATGGGATTCAAGTTAGTAAAATCGGGGATTATACGATAGTGTCGTGCGGCGGTGGCATCACTGGGCTATCCCAATACCACTCGTTGCTCGGTTATCGGTCTTAACAGTATAAAATGAAAACTCCACAGCTGATAAGATGGACAGGTGTGGCTATAAGATGGCATTAAACGTGACAGACTCTATACCACCACCGTGTAGTACTCATTTTAGGAAAACAGATGAAAATCCTATAGCCGTTACAAAGAGCTCAGTTAAACAGGAAAAAGACAAAATACCTTATCAGAATCGATGCTCTAACAATAGCGAATAATATCGAGTTCGCTGTGTAAAAGCTGACGCAAATTTTGTCTATACCGAAAGCTAATGGGTCGATTACGGATAGCAACGCAACCACGGTTCGGTTGTCAGCTGGCAACGCAACTGAAAAGAAAATTTTTATTACGAATAGCAACTATTGTTAGTTGCTGTAAAGTTATCGATAATCGAAACGGCAACCAGCAAGTGGTTGTAAACAAGCTGTGCTAGTAAAATGAAATTATTAAAATAAAGAGTTTTAAATAAAAGCCTGCAATAATTCTGCGTTCAGTCAACTATTTTTTGAAGAGGGACAGCGGCACATGGACGCGCGGCCTCAATCAGGCGATATTTAAGGGTTAATTCCCTTACTACTACTGCCTGCACTGTAAGCAAAAGTTAATGCTTCGAAGGTTTTCAATTTTCGCTCCTGAATACGCTCCAAAAACCTTCCCAGCTACCACAAAAATGTAGTTGCCTGAACACACACTTTGTAGCAACTGCAGTTGCCAGTTGAGAGTTACCAGTTGCCATCTATAATATCGTTTCAGCAACTAGCAACGCAACTGAAGATGGGTTGTTACGAAAATTGCCCCCCCCATAAGATGTTTACCTATCAAAAAATAGAAGTAATATCACTTACGACATTTTTAGTTTTTTTTCTGTGGCGAGTTTCAGCGATTTTTCCACTTGAAGTTGAAGTTGGTGATCGCAGAATAGCTTTTAAAACAATTAAAAGTGATTTAAGTGCAAATATTTGTACCAGCAAATTTCGCGCATCGAAAATTGGTTTCAGCGTTTTTCTTGAAAATTTTAGTAATTTATTTAGCTTCCCTTTTGAGATGTCTTCTAACTAAACGAATGGAGAGATCTCCAAGCATTTCAATCGTGGCAGCCTCTTCCTATTTTTCTTTTTGATATTTGTAATACCAACTTTCAATTTTCTACTGTAAGCAATGCAGGGTGCTCAATGACCTTGAAATGCGCTACCGGGTCGCTTTGAAACTAACAAAAATATTGGTGACTTTTATAAAAACCTGCTATTGCCATGACAACGGAAGCTAATAATATTTTTTAGCTAATTTTACTTTAAAATGTTCTTAGGTTGTTTAACCAATTGTTTGGTTAATATATGTATGTACAAAACATTGCTAGAGCAAAATATAAACATTTCACGAGCATCCTCTAAACTTATACTTAGAAACAGGGACCGAACATAACAGTTATTGATGAAAACTGTGATTGAAAAACTCACTATGTAGGAAAGGTTCTACACCTAAGTGATACATACCAACCGATTTCTTTTTTCACCGAGAATCAAATTTGGAAATAAATTTTTGTTTGTAATTTTTACTCAAAATGAAAAAAAAAGAATTGAAGGGGTTAGAATCAAAAGGATCTAAGTAGTTCTGACACTTTTTTGAGATAATTAAGGGTAAAGTTGCTTACTTATTGTAAATTCTGGGTAAATGCATTTCAAATGATTTTTGCCTAAATGAATGAAGGTTAATTAACTAATTTAAATGAATGTTACTCTTTCCATAAACACTATATTTAACTATACAAATATAGGTATAACTTATATTTTCAAAAAATGTCACTTAGACCCTTATGATTCTAACCCTTTCAATTATTTTTGATTTTTGTATTATATGTCTTAGATAACAGTTATTGAAGACTTTTATTTATAAAAGACATCAATAAAAATCAGTCACCGACTTTTATTTTTTAAGTCAAACGCATAAAAGTCATTACCATTTTTCGCAGTTAAGAATGTGTTTACTACGACTTATACAAATGACTTTTATAAATATGATTTTAAAATTAAAAGTCAGTGACTGATTTATATTGATGGCTTTTACAAGTAAAAGTCTTCAATAACTGTTATCTAAAATAAATAATTTAAAAATCAAAAATAACTGTTATTTGCTGATTATTTAGATAAAACTCAAAAATAATTGTTATTTTGGATTTATAAAATAAAAAACAGAAAAAAACTGTTATTTAAGGAGTAATTAAATAACAGTCAAGAAATAATTGTTAAAGGGCGATTTTTTAACAAAAGTTGTAACTGTTACGGTCCAGTGCTGGCCCAGCACTTCAATAAATATACATATCGTCGATGTTTTTGCAAAACCTCCCATCGCCCAATTGCAAACCCGCCTATCTTACGGTACTCAAATTTTACAGGAGAGCGAAAAAACGGCGTTTCTTTGAAGGCATTGCTTTGGGAGGCGGTATATTCTCTAGCTATTATTTTACAAATCTGTTGTTTTAATAACGATTTTACGATTTTTTTTTCAGGGTTAACAAATCTCATTTTTGCCACAACGGCGATTTAGGCGGTTTTGCAACTGGTCGATGTGCGGTTTTGCAAAAACATCGACGATATATTTGAATGAACACTCACTTATCAGATATGTACATATGTATGTATTGTTGCAAATCTCACCTGTAAATATTTCAACACCAATAAATTCGGCACCGAATAAATCATATTTTGTTCGCCACAACCTGTGGGACTTCTAATAAGTCGATCGAAATTCTCACCGCTATTGATTAAATTCAGCATAGAGCCCATTAAAAAGTTCATAACCGATATTTCAATGTGTTCAGAGCCTGGCACACTATTTTGTGGTATATTCAATTGAATCGTTTTACTCTCTTCTCCATTAATGTAGAAGTCCATATTTTTCCATACTGTGGTACCTTCGTACTCTACCCGCAGCTGCTTTATGATCGCATCGCTGGCGAAAGGACATTCTGCCGATATCCTTAGAGTTATCATGCCCGTCACTTTTGGACGTATTGCAAAATGTACCGTTGTAGTTTTTTCGCGACGCACATGCGTAGAAATGGTGTACTTTGTTTCACTTAATTTCGCAACGAATTCAAATTCATCATTTTCAATTTCCATGGAGACACTAGCACGCGTGTCTGTATGTAGATAGTTGAAAACTACTACAGGTAGTGTAATTATTTCACCTGAAAAATGCGTAGGCGGTAAGTGAGTATACATACATATAGTATTTTGTGTTTGTTTAGTATTTGTAAGTATTTACTTGCCTATTTTTACGGCATAGGGCAAATTGACTGTAACAAAGAATTCCAAAAATGTTCGCAAAATTGTTGGACTTGATGTGAGTGCAAATCCAGTTTTCGGATTAATTGAAAATCCCGTAATCACCCACGATGTAATGGTGTCTGGTACTTTCTCCACGACTGTATCCTGACCATCGACACTGAAATTGAGAATACCCTTTTGCAAAAACTGAACAAATTTCTGCAATTTTTTTAACGCAGCACCGACTACAAAAGTATTTTGAGACTTTGGGTTCACTAAATACCGCGAGCAAAAGTAAAGACTTTGCCTTTACTAAATACTGGATACAAAACCACTTAGTAATCATGACTTGATAAATCCTAAATACATACATACTAGCTATTTACTCAGTGTAAAAATAGAGAATTTAGGGATCTTCGAGACTATTCCACGATTCACGAGACTAAATATTTCGGAATTTTCGAGACTGCTTCGGGATGTTTAGGGTTTTAGAGACTATATCGAGATTTTAGAGACTTTCGGGACTATTTTGGGATTTTCCACACTCCTTCGGTATTTTTAGAACTTTCGGGACCATTTCGGGATCTTCTGGACTACTTCGCAGTTTTCGGGACTACTTCGGGATTTTCAGGATTACTTCGAGAATACTTCGAGGCTTTAAGAATTTTTGGGGTTTTTGGGACTATTTCGATAATTTTTGGAGACGGCTTCGAGATTTTTAGAATTCTAGGGCTGTTTCGCTTTTTTCGACATAAATATATCGATAGATATATCAATAAATATGTCGATAAATATATCAATAAAAATATCGATGATTCATTTGAAAACAATATCGCTTATTATATCGATAAATATATCTATAAGATCGATAAAAATATTAATAAATATAACGACCGCAAAATCTATAAATATTTCTATATCAAGATCGATAAATATAATGAAATTTCTGAAACTGTTCCGTATGATGCGCATAACTATTAGTCACAAAATTTCGTTCGATTCCATAGAATCAGTCATCTTTATTGAGCATCTCGAAGTGCAAATAATGTGCTTGCGATTTGTGGGGGATCGATTTTGTCGAGAATTTGGAAAGAGTATTCAAAGTTTTATTGAATTGGTGAGTATAAACAACCGAAGATCGGGACGGTGTTATGGATATGTAGGGATAAAAACACTTACACATTATCTGATTTCAAATATTTCAAACACCTCCCTAAGGCACATACAAAATTGATTGCCAAAGTTTGATAGGAATCTCTAATATCAGTTAGGTAAGTTTAATCTGGCCGGTGTGTTGCACTATACAAAAACAGGAGCTCAACATTAAGCGTTAAAGTAGACATCACAAAGGATGTCAACGTTTTTTTTTTCCAAATTTCATTAGTAATTCCGCTTTAATTTTGATATGTCTTCTAATTTCTCGAATCGATAGGTTCCCAAGACTTTTAGTCATGTTTTTGACAGGGCAGAACATCGGCGTATAAGTTGCTCTCAGCTTACCACGATTCCCGCACCTGTCTGCGTTACTTATATCCATTCCAAGTGGATGAGTAGCCACCAGGATATGCCCCGCAAGCAATCGGGTAACAACTCGGCAATCCTTTTTTTATAGCCGGAACAAAAAGCGAGTATAATTACATCGGCTATTTTCGCACATAATTTTTGCTGTTTTGCAGGTGGGTAATTTACTTCATATAGCCCCGAACAAGCGTTGGCGTATTTTGCCTGTATGATTGTAAGAGTGGTAGCTCTCATCTGCTATTTCATTATCATCTATTTCTTCGTACCCAGCACTTAATAATATGCAGTCTTGTTTATGTGACCAGCCTGCCAATGGCTTAAATGACTGTATCCGAAAACTTCTGCTTGAAATATGCTGCAAAGATCAGGTAACCTTAGTGCCCCCCTAACGTTCAGTACCCGGCAGTATATTCCGGCACTCATTTTAGAACCTCCGTGAAGATGTTTAGGGCTTCACGGATAGGTTTCATTCGCTTGCGCCCTCCCTCCTCCTCAATAGTTAGATAGATAGTTGGTTGGGTATGGCACTGCGACCAGTAGGTCTATTGTGCCCCCTCCTCAATAGTTAGGCGAATCTTCGTTCCCAGATAAAGCTAGGTCTGTGCTGCCTGTGATGCCCGTCCAAATTAAGCTCATACAGCTACAAGTCATCTGATTCAATTAAGGGCTCATTGAAATTCAATTCCTTATCACTCCACAAATGTTATATGACAAAAAATGCACTAAATACAATTTACGTATTTTTGTAATTTCATGGGCGCTGGGTTGTGTCTTAGTTTTGGGGCACAGTGGCCAATTCGATTCTAGATAAGAATTGGCAAATTTTTCGGATGAATTCTCTTACCGCGAAAAAATAAATTGGTTTTCATTATTTGGAATTTCGCTTCTTATCGTCTAATTTTTAAGAAAATATGTATATTTAAGCCAACTGTTGCAGATAAGAGAGTCGGGATGCTACTTCCTGAGATATCTTTAGGTTCTTTACTCTTAACAGGTCTAATTATCGCTTATCATAGCAAACACAAATGCGCTTACATACCTCATAAAATCATCGAAGGCAAAAGTTTCAAAGAAATTTCGACGAACACGTTTCTTAGGTGCTGAAGCTCTGGCTCTTATATCCATTGCAGTTTGTGTTAGCTCTGAAAAAATCAATTGAGATTATTTAGATAATGCAGGTGTGTGCTTATATAGTTGTTAAAGATAAACAGATGAATACTTTGATGTTATATGAAGCCAAAAAAAATTTTGCTTTGCTTTTTGATGGGATTGGCGGCAAATCAGCATCCATTATGAGCTGCTGCCCAATCGCAGTACCTTTAATTCTGACCTTTATTGTCAACTGCTGGGACTGTCTGAAGGAAGCAATTGTCTAGTAGCGACTAGCTTTGGTCAATACGAGGTAAATTGCTTTTTTATGGCAAAGATTTTTCTGTTGAAAAATTCGTCTAAAGAGGTTTGTGAAAATATGCGGCCCAAGTGTTTTGCAAATAGGGACCGAGGCTTCTATGAAATATTCGCGAATGCGAATGCGAATGTTAGGAATAACATTAAAACGCTATAATCAACTTAAGTCATCATTTTTATTACTTAAAAATTTTGTAAATTATTAGAACATTGAACGAGCGCTTAACCCTTGCACTGTTTAAATCTAGTAGTCAAAGTTCAAAAGGGGCATATTATATTTCAAACAAGTAAGGCAGTATAAGTTCAGGCGAAACCGAACTTTATATACTCGGCGCACGGATTAAATATCGTCTATCTACCTTTCAGTAAATTGCATGATAAGCAAGAGTATTTTTCCCGATGCCAAACAGTTTCAATACAATATATAGTTTCAGTATCAATATACATTTATGTATGTAGTCATAAGTGGGTGGTGCCACGCCCATTTCATAAAAATCAATAATATTGTGTCTTGTTAAGAAATTGTTGTAAGTTGACGTGTTTAGTTATTGAAATATCGGAATTTTCAAATTTCGGAAATTTAATTGATAAACTGGTTACCGAGATACACATATGTAAGTGGGCGGTGGCACGCCCATTTTCCTAAAAATTTCCCTAAGTAGCATTTTCTGCTGAGAGCTCGTTGTATATATCGATTTTGAGTAAACAAGCTTATATAGTTACTAATTTATGGCAGTTTTCGTATTTCTGTAAATTACTGTGGGAGGTGGGCGTGGTTCTTGTCAGATTTCAAAAATTTTCAAAGCGTTTCTTAGTGAGGCTCTAAGGAATGTTCGTACCGAGTTTGGTGCGAATTGGTGAAGGGACTACAGAGATACAGCATTTCATCGAATCATTCGCATAACGAATGCGAATGCAAATATTCGCCACATCCCTGGTGTGGTCATAGCTGAGGCCCTAAACAAACGCCCTAAAATTATTTCACACTTTGCAAAATATTGATTTGTTACAAAATGTAGATACAGTGACTCAAACAAATGACCACGTGTTGATTATTTTTTTTTTAAATATACCGAATGTTTTTCAAGTAACATTTTTTTGTTATATTTCTATAAAAATACTGTCCAAGCTTTAAGCAAAAACCATATAAATCAAAGTTTCGAACTTTGTACAAAATTTAGGAATATTCAACAAATTTTCATCAAAGTTTCAAACATTTTAATCTGAATTTTTCGAACATTTTTGGGTGCGCAGTTTCATAGAACATTCAATATAAGCACGAAAAATCAACGCTACTTTTTATAAATTGCATTTGTTATATAAAAAAAACCGCATAAGCCGTCACCAAAAAATATTTATTAAAAATCAACGCGATTTTTTAACGGGTTTAAACTTGCACTTCAAAAGACTAAAATTGTATGGGCTACAAAACTGCGTACCCAAAAAATGTTCTAAAGATTCATATTACAAAGTGTGCAATTTTGATGAAAATCTGTGGAATTTTCCTAAATTATGTATAAAATTTGAAACTTGAACTTATATGGTTTTGGGCAAAGCTTGGGCAACGTTTTTATACAAAAATACCAAAAAAATACAACTTGAAAACATTGTGAATATTAAAAAAATCGACACATGGTCGCTTGTTTGAGTCACTGTATGTACTTTTGTACATATGTCATTATAAAAATAGGTATACTCCTGACATTTTGTATTGTACATATAAAATATACAATTTAAAAGGTCTCACCTGCATCGTAGTGGGCATTGGTCATTGTTACGAGACCGGCAATTTCGCCAGGATAGCTGCTGTTTGGCGGCAAATAAGCTTCTGGCGTTTTTGTTATCACAGTTTCCAAACCATTGAGTATCGTTTCGGCATCAAAATCATTACCAGACCTAAGCAATAAAACACTCTTATCCATGCCAAGCAAGCCAACATATGAGTTAGGATCGGTATCCACAGTTATGGAAATAATACTACCAGGTTTAACGGTTTCAGGTGTGTCGATGGAAATCTGAAAATTTAAGCGAAATTATAACAAATGCAAAAATGAGTAAAAAGTTTTTTTTTTACTTACACTATTTTCAAATTGCTTTTCTACTGAAAATGTAGTCTCATAATAGAACATTTTACCATTTTTGAAAAAATAAGCAAAAATATGCGCTTTTGGCATCATTTCATGTGTTGGTGTAATAGAGAATTGATGCTTTCGGCTGCTGCCGCCGCTGGGCACTTGTATGACGTTATTATAAATGATATTGCCACGTCCAACAATCACACAAACAAAGCTAGAAAATGACTCATGCGCCACCAGACGTATTTCCATAGGGCTACCCACCGTAGGACTGAAAAAGTAACAAACGTTTTTTTAATCACCAAATTTTTCTTGCTGGCGTCTCCGGTTTTAAGTCCAACTTCGAACTCGTTTGTCTTACTTTTGCGTTCTTACGTAGACCCCACCTTGACTGCCATTACTTCGTTGAGAGAGCCTTATTTCCCCTAACGATGTTTCTCCATTATATTCGATCGTTATATTGACATTAGTGTAGTTTGAACACGTAATTTCCGCTTCAATATCACCATTTTCATCGGCATAACTAACAATTTTCGAAGGCTCTTCATTCACGTCCACATCGAGTTTCACATAAATTTCTTCATCGACATCAACCGGCGTTGCATTGAGGTGTGTAATGCGCGCACGATAGGTGAATGTGTCGCTTGGTCCATCACATTCGTGCGCCATTGGCGGTGTGTCGATTAAATAACGTTTGGCCAAAATACTAACTGTTTTCGAAACTGTACGCTGGGTTAAGGTGACAGTATCTTGTATGGTGGCATTTATTTGTATCCTCTGAATTTTCTTGCCAAATTCACTTAGTTGAAGAGACAGTTCCTTTTTTCCATCAATCAGTGGAAATTCTCGTTCGATGGTAGGTCGCTCTCCCTTTGAGATGATCTTTAATAGACAGTTTCCCGATATAGGCTTGCCAAAAGTGTAGCTAGAAAAATACAAATTTTATATACATAGTGTCTAAGTTTGGTAATTATGCAACTTAAGTTTTAGTAATCTATGAGTGATTTGCAGTTAGTCTGCTTACCACATAAAATTGTAATAATCTATTAATTATTCTGAAGATCCTCTAACTATCCTACGACTCACAATCTATCCTTGACTGGAATCAAATTTGTGATCAATGAGGACTCGCTGCCCAAAATTTTTCTTCTTCTTTAATGGCGCTGTAATCGCCTAAGCGATTTTGGCCGATTCTTTCATTCGAACGACATGGCCAAGCCAGCGGAGCCGCTGAATTTTGATTTGCTGCACTATGTCCAATATTGATGTAATAAGCTATGGCTTTTACTCTATAATCCTCAAGACCCAAAAAGGGAATGTGGGTAAAGCCCAAACCATAGACGGCAATGCGAGTAAACCCACAGAAACAAATCCGCTGTCTCAAAACGGTTTTATAAAAAAGATAACTGAACCATCTCTGCACCATGAAGACTTGGATAGACCAATGGATACTCTCCCTTTCGACCTTTTATGCCGACTGCTTGCTGAGATCTTTAAGGCTTGCCTTCGCCTTTATCACATTCCTCGAGGATGGACAAAGGCTAGGGTTATCTTCATACCGAAAGGTGGAAGGCTCTCTCACGTCAAACCCAATAACTTCAAGCCAATAAACCTAACGTGCTTCTTAAAACTCTAGAAAGACTTTTTGACGCTCATATCAGACAGCGCTTTTCTTCTGAGGACGTGTCGGAGTGTCAACATACCTATTCTAAGGGCAAATCCGTGGACACTGCGCTTCACGAAATTGTGCACAAAATTGAAAAAGGACTCCCCCTTTAAGGAATCTACCTTAGGCATCTTTCTTGACGTAGAGGGCGCCTTTAACAATATTCTTCCAGATGCTGTTGTGTGCTCACTTTCAAAAGTGGGGCTGGAGCGGCCTCTGGTGGAGCTTATAAGACTTCTCCTTGAAAGAAGAATTATCTCATCAGAGTTGGGGGCTGCGTCCATAACCAGGCATGCAACGAGAGGTACTCGTCAAGGAGGAACCTTAACCGTAAACTCAATTCTGATGAGACCTTTTGCAGAGCGCTCTCTGCCTCGTCAACCCCTGGTAGAGGGAGTGTGGACTTAAAGTCAATCCCACCAATACCGAAATGATACTATTCACGAGGAAATATAAGATACCGTCTTTTCGTTCTTTCACCAAATTCTGAAGGGGGTGTTCTTGAGCCATTTTTTGATATAGGGCGTTTTCGAACCGGCTGCCGAGAACAGTCGACCTTCCGTTCTCTCTTCCGATATACTCCCACAAAAAAATTAATACATTTTTGGTTGTAATGAGAAACTGGTAATCGATACAGCTACGAAATTTTTACACAATATTGAAGAAAAGGTAGCGATAATTTCAATTTCTTATTTATTTATTTTTTTTGATTATGATACTCTTGAAGCAAATGATATATGTATTCTAATAAAAAATAATCCTAACTAGTACTTACTGCGCCCTCACTGTTACAAGAAATGCTTCCTGATTAAAAGACACATGACTGGGTGCATCCAATTCCACCTCAAATAAGGGCAGCTCATATTCTTTAACTTCAACAAATTTTTCTGCCAACTTGATATCTCCTTGGAAAACCTCCATAGACCACATACCCGAGACGACAGACTCAGCTAATTTTAGTTTACCCTTGAAGACGCCTGTATTTAGAACAATATCACTAAAACGCTGAATGCGATTATTCTCAGAATCCTATAAAAGAAAAAAAAATACACACACACACGCATATTGCCATTAAACATTAGTTCACAATAATAAATTCCCATATGATGCTTATCTCACCTTAATTAGCACAGAAAGGGGTTGGTTGACCTTCGCCGGTAATAAATACTGATCTAAGAATATTACACGGAACTGTATCGTCTCTCCATGTTTATACATTGCCTTATCAGTTTGCAAGTATACCCGCGGCAAATTGTCTACGAATTCCAAATTCGTTGCATTTTCGAAGAGAATTCCCGACAGCCCCTTGGCTTCTAAAGTGTATGTGCCCACTGCAATATTGGCCAAGTCAAATGTTACACTGCGCACAGAGTTCGACGGCACATCGATTTCTGTAAACTCTATGTAATTCTGTGGTCCTTTTAGAGTAATTCTGATTTTCGCATTCATCGGCACATCTGATACACTCACATGTGTGGTGTATTTAGAGTTGGGCCGTATAGAGCCGGGTGCTGCTATTGTATAATATCCTTGTGCCTGTACATAATTCACGATTACCGTAAGCACAAAAATGAATATGCCGAGCTGTTTAGAAAACGTGTGCATTGCGAATGATGCGAAATTAAGTACTAAATTGCAATTGAATTGAATTTGAAATTTACAGATTAGATTACAGATGCATTTCCGTAGTATACATCGAATTGTAACAGTCGATTTGCTTACACATAAATATGTACTTATGCATAATGAGCCACTATCCCTATGGAAAATCCTATAGTTTATAGCTAGCGCGCTTCTAGTGTTCTTGGAAATCAACTACGAAAGTTGAAATTCAGTTGAGTATGCAAAAGTTAGTGAATCTGTTGATAGATCTAGAAAAACGGAATTCCCAATATTCTTTTTATATATTTACACCGATACCAAGGAGATTTCTTTGTGTACCCTCTCGGGAATAGAGGGGGCTATCGATAATACTGCCTATGGCTCTATCTCAAGGGCATCAGTCCAAAGAGGCATACACACATCTACTGTGGGCTGGATCGGCGCTATGATTCTTGAACGTGAAATCACATCTTCCTTGGGCAACGCTCAAATGAAGATCAGAGCCATGAGAGGTGTCCTTTCTTCCTTTCCCTGGACGCTTATATGCAGTAGACGATCTCCTAATCAGACTAAATTAGTAGGCTTATATTGCTGCTAGAAACGCAAATTATCCGGGAATTTTAGTTACTGGAAAATTCGGCAGCAGTGTCGGACGTAGTGCAGTGTTTCGTGCGGTCTAAAACTGGGTCGCCAATGAGCTCCTAAGCAGAAATTCTCAAGAGGTTATTCTTGTACCGTTTATAGCAAGGTATAATGCATATTCTGGATCAGTCTTTCTTGGGGAGATGCTCAGGTATTACGTTAGATAAGGACCTAATTGGAACGCCCTTCCTAAAAAGAATGCTGTCAAAGCCAAACGAACCAAGGGAAGTCTGCTTTTGTAGAAAGTTCCAAATTATAATTATCATATTCCTACCTAAAAAAATTCTTCTTTAGGTTAAGGGTCGATGGTCGTGTTAGAGGGGCCCACGCTTGTGCACCTCCTCTTCGTTAACTAATCGCATTTGTTACATTTGACAATGTCTTAGGACTTATTCTCCGAATCTGTTAGGAATGATGTCGGGGAAAAAATCGCTCCATACGATTTAATCTCCCCTAAAAAATTTATACATATGTATGAATATGTACATATATAGACTAGGTTTATAAAATTATTTGGTGAACTTAAGACTTCTACTAAAATATTTGTGCTCAAATCAGCGCCATTTTTACTTTTTAATTACTAAATTGCATTTACTAAAGGTGCTCGTAAACGATGAGAATAAGGTCCAAATTCACAGTGCGTAATAAACTCAGAATCGGCAGTTAACTACAGATTTTCAGTACGAAAAATTGTAGTTGTCTGGCGATTCTGAGTTAACTACGCACTGTGAATTTGGCCCTAAGTCTCATGAGAATAGTAATTCACTCCCATTTTCACTGTCTAATTAGTAATGAGAGTAGGTATTCATTCTCATCGTGGAATTCTCATAAGTTCTCATGACTGGAATAATCTCACCCGCGTAACAAGTGTCGTTGAGAGTTTTCTTACACTCTCACTCGTATTGTCATATGCTTCATTGTGAAGAATTTTTATTTTCGGCTGTACATAATGTGAGACAACTTAATAACGCAATAGTAATAGAATACAAGACTGCGCCAATCAAGCTGTGACCAACCGGGTGGGTGTGACGTTATAAAAGTGAGAGCATGAGGGAGCAAAAAATAAATTCTAAAGAAGAAGAGGACACGCGAACATTTGATGCGAAATAATGATGTAAAAGCAAGTAGAATTGCACCCACTTTTCAGCCTTTTAAATTTGAACGTATATTCGGTACAAGCACACCATTTTAGGTACATCTGGAAGGTGGCAAAATAACTTGTCGGGAAATTTTCTCTTATTTTTACAGGCATTTCAACGTGTTTTCTAACTAGTGTGGAAAACTTTTCCAATGGTCTCCCTTTTTTGTAAAGAGGCATAAGCATTGGTTAAAAAATCGTTTTGGCTTGAACTGCTTAGAGAAATTCCGTCTAAGGCAATTTTTAATAGCAAAGAGTGCTTGATATAGGTCAGAAGTAAACATGGTACCGAAGGAAGAGTTTACCACTCACTATCAAAAATGTATACACATAAAAAAATTTATTTGCATTTAAAACACAACTTAACTTTAAACTTATGTTGTGGGATTGATTAACACACCAAATACGATAAACATACAAATATTCTTACTAGCAAAGTAGGTACAGTGACGAGCAAAACTTTAACATGGTGTAACGCTTTTTATATCAGCTGCCACTGTCTTTCAAAGTTCTAACGACATTCATACTCCTCTCCTCTCTTCCTCTCTTCCTCTCTCATAACGAATTGAAGTCAATCCAACAACAAAAATAAAACCAGCAGACAAAAATGTAAATTAGTGCACATGTTACAGTTTTGCATTTATATATTTTTAATAACTTTTTGACAATTTTCACGAGAAAAAAGAATGTTCAGTATACTTTTGCTTTTTTAAGTTCCTGGATGCAGTTTGGCATACCTTATTTGTATCTCTGTAAAAATTCTGGAGGTATAGCCTCCCATATATGTATACTTGGTTTGCTTTCATAGCTCATGTACTCCATTGGACGGACTTACATACTTAGTAAGCTGCG